ATATATGTATGTATGTATCAGTTGCCAGTTACTACTCTCTATTCTATAGACATGATGGTACTTAACAGCAACAGAAACAACAATAACAACAACAACTCTATTCGTCTTATTCTTGTTCTTGTTGTTAAGTGCCAGTGAGTTGGTTCAGTCTCATAATGACCCTGTGTAGGAGCAGAAAAAAAGTGCTTCATCTTTCTCCTGTGCAGTAGCTGCTGAACTCAAATTGCTGACTTTGTGGTTCGCAGTCCAGTGCTTACCCTATAGAGCTACCATGTTCCTCTTATTCTGCTTAGATTGGAAAAAAACAAACCACGGTGAAGTGTAGAATTTGAACTGTCATCTGTGTTTACAGATTGCTAAAAGTGGTGGATGAAATTGGCTTAAGAAAACCCAAGCTCGTTGCCAGAGTCTATTCTGACTCATTTTCATATAGACACATGTACGAGAAGACAAGTTCAAGAGGGCTTAAAAAACTTTTTGAAGTCTCCTCGTATTTGTATCATGTGTACAGGATTTTATGTGGGTCACTAGAAACTCTTTTGTGAAACAGAATATCATGAAATGAACAGCTGGATTACCAAGTCTGATTTTTATGAGAGTTTCTGATTAGGAAGCGATGATATCAATGTGTCTTAAACAAGAACTAAAAAACTCTTAATTGTATCACCCTAACATCCTATTGGAGTTGTGGTGTGGCGATGTAGGATAATGCGCTGAACCGTAAGGTAATCTTAAACCACAAGGTCAGCAATTCAAACCTCACCAGTCACTCCTTGGAAACCCTATACAGCAGGAGTGGGAAACATCCGACCTGTGGACCATATAAGACCCACAAAATCATTTGGTCTGACCCTGTCAAGGCAACCACAGGTGGGACACGAAATTCACTAAACCTAGGAGCTTTTTTCATAACAACATAAATTTATATTATGTTATGTTTAGTGTCATTGAGGCGGTTCTGACTCATAACAACCCTGTATGAGGTTTCCAAGGAGCAGCTGGTGAGCTTGAACCACTGAAGTTGTGGTTCAAGCCAACTTTGCAATCCAGTGCATTAAACCCACAGCCCCACGTTAATATCCAAATGGCCCTTGCCAGAAAAAAAGTTCCCCACCCCTGCTATGAGTCGGAACCAACTTGATGGCACATAAGAACAACAACATCCTATTCTTTATTTTGCATATTCTCTTTTAATCTTTATTCATTTGTCTTCAGTTATCAACATGGTGGCAACTATTTGTTCTTGTGCTATTTCACTTCATGTGGTGACCTGAACAGCTCCAAGTATCTGTAGTCATTCTAATTACTCGCATGCTTGTACAACAGTCATTGCAAATTGAGGTGTCATATTTTATTGTTTCTCTCTAGTGGAACCATTAAGCTTATTTTACTTGTTAGCTACCAGGTAACACTGTAACGTTCACCTTTTATGTATATGTCGCCTAGCTTTGTTGCCTCATTGGCTAAAACTAAAGTCCCAGGAGTAAAATCACTAGTGCAGGAGGTCACTTTGGTGTTTTTTCTATATAGCACGTCAACTTGATTATAAGGTAATAGTTTGGGAAAGACAGGTCTCTTTGGCCCAGGCTCACTAACTTTAATTTCACTTCATTCTTCATTCACCATTGAACTTACACTTGACTAACACTCTCACAAATTCAGATTTGGACTTTTAAATAGTCATATTTACAAAATAATGTATTTAAGAGAAAGGAGGGCAAATCCAAAGTCATTTGGCAGAAGCTCCAAAGCTCCTGAGGGTGTTGGCACTGTGGTACAGGAGGTGGAGACCGTGATCTCACTTCCAATTCCATTGCCACCAAAAACTCTCTCCAAATTTGAGAGGCAGAACTGTTTCCCGTTGACGGAATCAGAACTTCAGAGAACACACAGAACTCTTTGTTTCTTTCCCTCTTCCCTTTATCTCTTTACCACTACACTTGCTTTGTGACTTTGTGGTTTCCCAGGTCACTGTCATTTTCAACCTTAGTGCAGTTAGTCAGATTACTTTAATCCTGAAACAGAGCAGTGTGAGTCAGGCGTCAAATGACTGGCCTCAGATCACACTACTTGTGAGGATCTATGCAGAACCAAACCCAGGGTTTCCAGATATTTCTCCCCTCCTCAGCGACACTGTGACTGACAGGTGATTTTCCAGATTTTTCCTTTGACCTGCTACCTGCATGGAACAACTCTGTTGAATAGTTTTACAAGTTTTCTCTTTAGAATGTTCAAATCAGTGATCCAAAATCATTTTGGAAGAAAGCCCACCCACTGCCATCGACTAATAGACAGAGTAGAACTGCTCCTTGGGATTTTCAAGACTTGTAAATCTTTACGGGAGCAGACACCGCCATCTTTCTCTCCCGAGTGGCTGGTTAGTTTGAACCACCCATCTTGTGGTTACCAGCCCGATGATTACTCTGCTGTACCACTAGAGCTCCTTTATAAGAGAAAGGAACCTATAAAATATTCATCTCAATAAAATGACATCTGTACTTGCATCAGAGTTATTTCTCCGCTATCTTGGTCAAACCAATTGAACTCAGTTTTATCCATCTTGTATGAATGCCTGAAGGAAAGCTCTCAAAGTTAAGGAACACTCAGTGTGGACTGATTACAGATATCTTGGTTTGACAGGCTGGCAGCTGCATTTCAGTAGCTGAAATTTCAACAAACTGGGGGCAGCTCGGCTTCTCATACTTACCGCTATGTTCAGAAGATGAGCTGGTTGTGGTGACATTCTTAGGAACAGTTGTGGTAGGCGAAGTAAGTGAGGATTTCACAGGCAGCAGAGTGGAAGAAAAACTGGTTTGGGGTATAGAAGAAGAGATGGCTCCAGAGTGGGGGGGCACATCAATAGTAGAGCTGGGAGCTATGGGAGCTGAGGGCTGGGAAGAGAGGAGGTGAATCTTTCTGGTTGGAGACAGTGAATGATTTAGGGGCTCAGCAAAAGACACGGTACTGGAGACTTGGGATAGACTCGTGGTCTGAGAAGCAACTGGGACAGATTTGTTGGAAGAAAAAAATGGTGGGCCATCTAGAGATCCAGCAAGACAGAAGACAGGATTCTGCATTTCACTGAAAGAGAGAATTTGAGAGGTACATGAGTTATGAATGAGCTATGGTGAAGTGTCCTCATCCTCTGGCAGACAAAGGATACAACTAAGGTGATATGGCTACTCCAAGAACCTGCCACTCTCAGCCCCTGCCATCTCATACCCGCTGAGTAATTAACAAGGGGTGGGGAATGCTCTTTTATGAATTCTGAGTTCTGGCTCACAAGTTCACTTTTAGGTGTATCACTTAACATTTAAGACTCCACTGAGAGGATCTTGTAAGATTTCCATGTGCTCTTGAGGAAGGAGAACTGTTCTACACTCCATGACTCAACTGGTTTCCATATATGAGGATTCTGTCTTAATCAGTTCTATACACCTACTCTTCACTTACTGGTGATCAATTAGCTGACATTTTACATTTGCAACAAAGATAAAAAATTTATCCTCCAACTATTTTTCGTATTAATGATGTACATCTGGCAGTAACAAATACCGAGGCTGTGGTGGGTAAGGTTATGTGTCAACTTGACTGGGTCAACATTCTCAGCGGTTTGGCAATTATGTAATGCTGTAGTCATCCTCCATGTGGTGACCTGATATGCTCATCCTATTTTCACATAATGCCCATCTTTGAACAATGACCTAGTCTTTGGAACTATGGCCATAAGCAAAGAGTGGGTATATTGTGATAGTCTGACATAGTATTTACCTGACACATGGTAAGTGACTAAAAAATGTTTGTTCATGGAGAAAATGAATCAAGTTGGGGGACTAAGGGGACCAAAGGGGGTACTAAGCCAGCATTTTGTTTTATGGATATGACTCATCTTAACCTAATATTCCTTCTTCCGTCCCAAGAATACATTTCCATTGGTGTTCTAAGTTTTTTCATTTAAACACCAATTAAACATTTAAACCTAGTGTGTCACTGTAGGATAAACACTGGACCACAAGGTTGTTTGAAACACAAGGTTGGCAGTTCAAACTCCCCAGCCATTCCTCAGAAACCCTGGACAGGGTTACTATGAATCAGAACTGACTTGACAGCACTTAACAACCACAACAAATAGCTAAATATCAGTACATCAGCTGTGTCCTCAATGTTGCTTTAGGCCAATGATGCCCAACCCTGGCTGCACTTGAGAATTACCCAGAGAACTTTTCAAAAATACGCAGATCTCTACATGTTATGGTGCTGTAGGATAAACACTGAACCACAAGGTCAGGTTGATCCAAAAGGCCAGCAGTTCAAACCCATCAACCCTATACAGGGTCACTGTGAGTTGGAAACAACTTGACAGCTCTTAACAACAATAACAACATCTATAGAGACAGAAAGGAGATTAGTAGAAGCCTAAGGATGGATTGGCAAAGTGGCAGCATCAATGGGCATGTCAACAATTGTGAGGTTGGTCCAGGATCGGGCAGTGTTTCGTCTGTTGTGCATAGGGTCATTATGAGTCAGTACCAACTCAATGGCACCTAACAGCAACAACAACAACAACAACAACAAGGCTGGAGGGTCAGGAAGCAGAGTGGGCCAGGGAGGTTATGCATGCAAATGTCCGAAAATTGTCTGTAGTGAGACTGAATATCCTAAAACCACTGACTTGTGTACTTGAAATGGGTGATTTCTATGGTATGTGAAATGTTGTTGTTGTTGTCATGTGCCGTGGAGTCAGTTCCGACTCATATCGACCTTGTACAGGGTTTCTGAGGCTGTAAATCTTTACAGGAGCATAAAGTCTCATCTTTCTCCTGTGGAACAGCTGGTAGTTTCGAACTGCTGACTGTGAGATTAGCAGCCCAATTTGTAAGCATTACGCTACCAGAGTATGTGAAGTAGAGCTCCATAAAATGGCCTTAAAATAATTAGATAAGAACAAATGGATAACAGTTATTCTAAAGCATAAAGACTGTTGAGGGGTGGAGGGAGTTTAAGTCATTGAGAATGAAGCAACTTGGAAGAGAAAGAATGAGAATGTGGACTCATATGAAGAATGTAACCATTGTCTAAAACTATTGGATGAGAATGGGTCTTGCTGTGTATATTTTCACCAAAAAAAAAAAGAAAAAAAAATGTTTTTTTAACATTCAAGATTTTGGTAGCCTATTCCTCAGTGTCTGATTCTGTTGGTCTTGAGGTGGGGGTGGCATTCTCAGGTATGTGTATTTTCTGAACTCTTCAGTCTTTTTCAAGGCACCAAAACATAAGAAGAAATCTGTAGGATAAGCACTGGACTGCTAACCACAAGGTCAGCGGTTCATATCCACCAGTCACTCTGCAGGAGAAAGAAGAGGCTTTCTGCTCTTATAATGATTTACAGCCTCGAAAATCCTATACAGGATCCCTACAAATGGGAACCAACTCGAGGGCACACAACAAAAACAATCTGCCAGTCTTGGGGGAGGGAAAGCAACTAGAGGAGATAATAAATTATTACCTAGGAAAGCCTTGGATGGATCCAGTTCTAGATGAAAACTTAGAACACCAATCAGTTTCTACTCTGAACCCACAGAATTGTGGGGTGCATTCATGAGCAATTAAAAAATAATTTTTAAAAATTTGTACAACAGAAAAACATCATAAAGTCAAAAGACAACTGATAAACTGGAAGAAAATATTCACAACATATACCACAGGCAAGGGATCAGTATTCACAATATATACAAAGAGGATTTAAAAAGTTCATGGAAAAATGGAATTAAAAGATAATGAATTTTTTCCATGAACCTTGTGAATCCCCTTATAAAGTACTCTTAAAAACTGACCAGAAATCAGATAGAAAAGTAGGAAAAAGACATGAACAAATGATTGACCAAAAAAAGATTAAAATAGCCCTCAAGAATATGAAAAAAAGGCCCAAATTCATTCTTAATAAGAAACTGTAACTGAAAACAACACCATTTCTCATCCACCAGATGGGCAGACATGTAAAAATATGACAACACATTCTGTTGGGGATACTGCGGGGAATGAGAATTTTACAGCTCCCAGGTGATTCCCATGTGCAGCCAAGCTGGAAAAACAGTAATCTAAGGCAATGGCCCAAATAGAAACTTTAGACAACAGAAAACTGTGTACTTTCTCTACAACTGAAAGGCCTTCTTCCCTCCTGAAATTCCACAAATTCTTAGCCAGCATGGTGATTAAATGGTGCTTTTTAAAGAAAAGAGTCAGGATGTTTACTACATACCACTGTAGTTTTTCTAACTCTTCTGGGGATGAGGGGCAGAGGGTCCTGGGAGAACAGCAGCACTTTTCTGAAGGAGGCAAATGAAAAGGAAGAAAAGCAAGGTCAAGAGTAAAGCAAGGGAGATTACTCAGAGCCATCAAGTATTACACTTCTTGCATTTTAAAAAGCATTTGTATAAAACAGGTGCAAAAGTAGGCTTGATGTCATTACACAGACAAGTATAAACATGTAGTAAATGCTCAAAAGTATTTATTGAATGAATACTTTCTTTTTCTAATATATGCAGAAACTTCAGTAACTCCTAAGAGGAATTCAAATGTAAATATATCCCAGTAGCAATCCATAGGACTTTCCAAATAGCATTCTTTCTCTCAGAAAAGTTGTTGAGTTTTGGGTGCTTTTCTTTCTTTCTTTCATGTTTTCATCTAAAGTATACTTACACTTTATTAAAAGTCCCTGGGTGGTGCAAACTGTCAATGTGTTCAGCAGCTAACTGAAAAGTTGGAGGCTTGAGTCCACCCGGAGGTGCCTCAGAAGAAAGGCCTGGTGCTCTCCTTCCAAGAAACCAGCCACTGAAAACCCTAAGGAGCACAGATTTGACTCAATGGCAACTGGCTAAGCTTTATTGTTGTTGTTAAGTGCCGCTGAGTTAGTGCCAACCCACAGCAACCCTGTATAGGGTTTCCAAGGAGCAGCTGGTGAGCCTGAACTGCTGACCTTGCGGTTCAACCGACTTTGCAGTCCAGCGCATTAAACCGCAGCGCCACACCAGGACTCCAAGCTTTATTAGAAAGTAGGAAAAAATTTACCATTTAGACCAAAAAACCCAACTCATTGATGTTGAGTCAACTCTTGACTTGGGGGACACTAAAAATTGCTCAAGGACAAAGGAGTCAAAACAGAAAGCCACAACATGTATAGATATAGTAATTACATTTTCAATTAAAAACACCAATTTTCAAATTAAAAAAACAAACCCACACATATAAGAATGAGTGAACACAGCAATAAAGATAGAGACAACTTACCCATTTGTCGAATCTTTACTATTTTCAAATAATTCATGAGATCACATACATTCATCGTCTCATTCAGTTTTACTGTGAATGTACAATTTATTGTGCTGTAAAGAGAAACATCTTGTGTATATAAAGCCAGCAGGCTGATACATTGGAAACCTACATACATATATTCCATTGCTTTCTCAAAGGTAGAGTGGGAAAAGGGGACACTGACGCTATTAACTTGCCATGTCACTCTGAGAAACTGGTAAGCACCCATCTATCATGGTCTACAGTTTACCTGCAAGACTAAGAGATATACAAGGGGGTTTCAAAAAGTTTGTGGAAACATTCCATTATCTTTTAATTCCATATCTCCAGGAACTTTTAAAATCCCCCTCACAGGTAGAGGTCCACACTCATAGAGGTTGCAAACCAGAGACCCCCTGACCGCTCACAGCTACTGACTGGTTTTGCCTGCACAGTGGAAGAGGCAGGTTGACACTCAGGTGCAAAGACAAGCACCTTGATATCTACAGTCTTACCTCCAGCTTGGTGCCTGTAATCATTTTGAGTTTCCACCATGGGAACCCTTCCTCAACCAATTTAAGTGAATATCAAGGTCTCATAAATTCAGAATCTGGCAATTCAATCTAGATTACCAGAAAATGAGATTAAGTCCCTGCTAGGAACTAAATATATTCTCTCTGTTTCCCTTTATTTTAGTTTTGATCTAGGTAAAAAGAAAAAAAAACTGATGTTGCAAATAATGAAAAGAAGTTAAGTGGCATGAGCTGCATAAATTTACATACAATGGACAGGGATTCAATCTATAATTTCATAGATTTGTTATTGTTTGTTTCAGTAGATGATTTGATGAGTAGAAACTATCATTTTACAGGGAACGTTCTAGGTTTGGGGCCTTATGCATTCAGCAAAGACAGTGGACCTAACTTGAAATGTTAATCTGCAGAACCCCAAAATAACTGTTGGACAAACTCTGAATCTCTGCATACACTGTTTTATTTTGTTTCTTTTTCTAATCTTTCCCTTCCCTCTTTTTTCATCTTCTCCCAAGTTTCAAACTAGGTTCCTTCTTCTCTGTCTGGCCTTCACCCTACTTGGGTCTCGGTGAGCTATTTATTGGCCATATTGGTGACCCTCGAGGTCAAGGACATTGATGATCTTTAGCTTCATAGAACCAAAGACAAACGGCCTGATACCACCCACTCTTCTGCGCCTCATAAAGCAAGAGGAAGATGGATGAGAAGGAGTAATAAGAACATGGAAACTAAAACTATGTAAATCTCAAATATCCTTCTTCTTCTTCTTCACCACTATTGAGTCGGTTCTGACTCACAGTGACCCTGTATAGAGCTTCTGAGGGGGTGACTGGTGCGTTTGAACCACTGACCCTGCAGTTACATGTATTTATTTTAGAAAATGCCTTTGAATTTTCAATTTAGCCAATAGTCCTCAATACTGATATTAATAATGATATTTATAAAAGCATTAAAAAATAACTGACCTCTGGGCTTCTGCTGTAGCACACACTATAAAATATGTCTGAAACAAAAAATATATGTTAGGTTGACAGTTGGAAATGCTTACAAGATCCAAGGCTGATCAAAGTATCACAGAATTTTAGAATCCCAAAGACCCCTAGGTTATCATTCAATTCATCTCCCTTCCAGACTCCTGACATATCATCAAAGCTATGCATGACATACAGGCTCTGACTGGATACCTCCAGTGACAGGGAGTTCACTACCATTCAGGGGAGTTCATTTTCCTGGAACTCTCATTTTAAGAAATTTTTGGTCTTATATCGAGTACAGTAACATCCACCCATTACTCCTAATTCTGATGTTTGGAGGAATGGAACTGATGCGTTTATTCTTTTACATGATAGACTTGAAAGAATTTGAAGACATATGTCCCCAGGAAGGCAGGACTACATGTTCTCCCCCACCAAAATAATACTTTACTATGGACTATGATTACCTCACTAAAGGTCTGCAAGGTTTTGTTGAGTTCTGATCGTCTGTTAGAGAAAGAGAGATTGACATGAAGAAGACCATTAGAGATGCTAAGTTTAAAATCAGTTAGACTTTTCACAATTAAATCAATTACATGGTATTTACTGCTTACAATGTTCACATTGAAGAAACTCTGGACATAATAAGAGATTCCTATGTGGGAAAAATAGATTATTCATGCAATAAGTGAAAACTAACAAGGCAGAAGTGGTCCATCACTTTTAGCTATGAGTAAGATATAAATATGCCGAGGATATAACCTTGTAAGATATGCAGGTGATACAAACCTGCTTGATGAAAGCAAAGAGGACTTAAAATATTTACTGATGAAGATCAAAGAGCACAACCTTTGGTATGGATTACATCTCAATGTAAAGAAAACAAAAATCCTCACCACTGGACCAATAAACAACATTCTTATTAATGGAGAAAAGATTGAAGTTGTCAAGGACTTCATTCTTCTTGGATCAACTATCAACACTCAGGGAAACAGCAGTCAACTAATCAAACGTCATATTGCATTACACAAATCTTTGCACAGACCTTTTTAAAGTGTTGAAAAGCAAACATATCAGCTTGAGGACTAAGGTGCGCCTGAGCCAAGCCATAGTATTTTCAATAACCTCATATGCATGTGAAAGTTGGACAGTAAATAAGGAAGACTGTAGAAGAATTGATGTTTTTGAGTTATGGTGTTAAAGGAGAATACTGAAAGTGCCATGGGCTGCCCATATAACCAACAGATCTGTGTTGGAAGAAGTGCAGCCAGAGTGCTCTTTGGAGGCCAGTATGGACAAACTTCGTCTCTCATACTTTGGACATATTGTCAGGAGGGACCAGTCGCTGGAGAAGGATATAATGTTTGGTAAGGTGGAGGGTCAGAGAAGAAGAGGAAGACCCCAGCGAGATGGATTGTCCAAGTGGCAGCATCAATGGGCTCAAGCGTGGCAACAGTAGTGAGGTTGGCCCAGGATTGGGCAGTGTTTCGTTCTGCTGTGCATAAGGTTGCTATGAGTCAGCACGGACTCAATGGTACCTAACAACAACAACAACAAAGATATAAATTATGGGTGAACAACTTTGTTATTTATTAGGCTACTGCAGCCTGGAGGCAATTTCCTCTGGCTGGAGGGACCAGAGGAAGAGCTGGCCCCAGGCATAAGTGATGAAGGGCAAGCTGTTCACCTTGGGGGTTAACTGGTCTAGTCCTGCCCTCCCCCCTCTCACTACTTCCCTTCAGGAATCTCTCTTATTCTTCTCCAATTTGACTCTCACAATACTTTCATTTCATCCATGTGTCAGAGCTTAACATGAAGTGAGGATGAAAGGAATCTGCTGCAAATTCACTCTAAAACAGTAGTACTTAATCCCCAGGGGACCTTTGGCAATATCTAGATATATTTTTGGTTGTCACAATTGGAGAGGGGTGCTAATGGTATCTATTAGATAGAGGCAGAGATGCTGCTAAACATCCCCCAATTCACAGCTCATCATCCCCAAGAATCACCTAGTCCGAAATGTCAATAGTGTTGAGGTTGAGAAACCCTGTGCTAAGGCATCTCCAGGGACAGGGTGACGGTAGGAAGTTCTGTGGCAGTGATCAGCTAGCTTCTCAAGCCAGCAGTAGCCACTCCTTTAGAACTGTACTTGGGTTGTTATCTTTCTTGGATTTTCTGTGGTCCCTCTAGCTAGGCCTAACCATCTATCTGCTCTATACTCAGAAGCTTGGCACATCTTTTGCTAACCTGTTCATGACACCTTCATTGTAGGATGCAGACTGTACCATTATCATTCGTTTGCATCATGATTCTTTCTCACCACACTCTAGATTCCTGATTCTCAAACTCCGCTTCACACTGAGACTATTTGGGGAGCATTGAAAACTACCAATGCCTGGTCTCACACCCCAAATTTTTATTTAATTATTATGGAGTGTGCCTAGGCATCAGGATTTGTAAAAGATAACCAGGTGATTTTAATATGCATCCAGGGTTGAGAACCAATAGTCTAGACCCAGTGTTCCATCTCAGAGAGATGAGTTTACCCCTATTGGCATCCCCAAGGCCCAGCATATAGTAGATGCTCAATAAATGCTTGGAGCTGGGGATGAGATAGAGTTTAGGGTTAGGGTTTGAAATAGGGTTGGATTTAGGGTTCTTGTTAGGGTTTGGGCTTGATTTAGGGTTTGTGTATAGATTAGGGTTAGGGGTAGTATTAGAGTTAAAATGAAGGTGTGAGTTTGGGATATGATTTGGGTTACTGTTAGGATTAGGGTTGGAGCTGGGTAACATGAGTCACAACCCTATGCTTAACCCTAATCCTAATCTTAACCCAAGCCCTAAAACAGTAACCCTGAAAACAACCTTAGCTGTAACCCTATTACCTAAACCCTAACCCTAACCCCACATGTAAGCTTAACTCTAACCCAAACACTAACCCTTACATGAGCTCTTAACCTAAATTTAAACTGAATTCTAGGCCTAATAATAACCCTATCCCTTACATTAACACTAACCTTAACCCTAAACCAACCCCAAACCCATCACTAACTCTAAACCTAACAATAATCTTTAATCAAGTTGTAACCCTAACCCTAGGGCTAATATTAACCCTAACATGCATCCTAACCCAATGTTTACCACTAATCCTAACCCCAAACTTAACAAAAGCCCTAACTCTAACCATAAACTTAACCCAGACCCTAACCATAGCCATACCCATAACCACAGGCCCAAACCTAACCCAAACCTGAACTCTATATTTAAATCTAGTACAATCCCTAAAGTGAACTCCAACCCTGAAACTAACTGCAATCCTAGCACTATCATTGATGCTATATCCAGCCTTAACCCTAAACCTAATACTAAACTTCACATGAGCATTTAATAGTCCTCTTAGATCTAACCATGGCCCAAATGTTAACCTTATCCTTAAATCAATTGCTATACATAAATTTAAAGATTGTTCTAATCCCAACTCTGAACCATAATCCTAGCCCTAACATGAGCCCAAGTTTTATGTTTAACCATAATCCTAACCCTAATCAAGTCCTAATGATTCCAGGTACATTGCTAATCTCTGATTTTTTTTTTTTAATTTAATTTTTGTAAAGTTTTTCATCTCTGATTTTTATATCACACATATAACTCTGAATTGTTAGAAAAGGTTAGATTTTCATTGTTGCTGTTGTTATGTGCCGTGGAGTCAATTCCGACTCATAGTGACCCTGTACAGGGTTTCTGAGGCAGTAAATCATTATGGGAGCAGAAAGCCTCGTCTTTCTCCCGCAGAACATCTGGTAGTTTTGAACTGCTGACCTTGCGGTTCGCAGCCCGATTCATAACCACTACGCTACCAGAGCTCCAAAAAAAACCCCCATAAAGGCCAGGAACAACACCCATTCAATTTCAATTCTCACTCATTTAGCTTTTTACCCACTATCATGTCTATCTATATGTTTGGAGTCCTGGTGTGGCACTGTGGGCTGATGGACTACAATGTTGGTTTTGAAATGCAAAGTTGGCGGTTCAAGTTCACCAGACACTCCTCAGTTGGAACCAACTCAACAGCACTTAAAAAGAACAACAATCCATATGTTTGGTGGCCACCACATAGAACCATGTTATTCTTCCTTACTAGGTGTTGCTGACCCACCAGAAGCAGCCAGGTCAAAATACTAATTTGAAAGGATGACCCACATGAAGGGTTTTTTAACGCAGGGCAGGTTTTTCTCATAAGTTATCATGGTTACTAATTGGGCCGCTAATCTCAAGGTCAGCAGTTTGAAACTACCAGCGGTTCTGCGGGAGAAAGATGAGGCTTTCTGCTCCTGTAAAGATTTATAGCCTTGGAAACCCTATGCAGGGTCAGAATCTACTCGACAGCACTTATCAACAACAACAACAAAATCATCACAGACATTCACTTTTGATGCTGCTTCTCTGCCATGAGGGTAAAGACATACCATGGCCCCTCCTCCAGTGCGAAGAGGCAGGGTAAGATTATTACTGGCTTAGGCCAACCTGCTGGCTGACGCCTTGACCTATTGTCTAACTGTTGTTGTGGTTGTTGGGTGCCACCTAATTGATTCTAACTCATAGTAACCCTATTTGACAGAGTAGAAATGAACCATAGGCTTTTCTAGGCTGTAATCTTTATAGGTATTAACTAAAGGTCAACAGTTCAAACCCACCAGCTGCTCCTCAGAAACCCTATACAGGGTTGCTATGAGTTGGAACTGACTCAGCAGCACGTATAACAAAACAACAACAAATCTTTATAGGATTAATAATAAACAATCTATCTTTATAGGTCTTTCTCCTGTCAAGCTGCTGGGTGGGTTTGGACCACCAATGTTTTGGTTAACAAGACATCTATTTGTAATATATTCTCATTGTCTGTGCTTGTTCTTTTAAGCCTAGGTCTACTAACAAACCCCTCTCTCTAACTTTGGAATCATTGATGATTCATGAAGGCATGAACAAATGGTATACAGCAAGGAGTCCTACCTTGAATGGACTCTTCTTTCAACCATGCTGGCTACCAAATCATATGAAAATTCAAATACCAACTTAAATGATTCCAGGTCATCTTGTAGCATAAACAAGGACCTCCTCACAGGGATACTAGTTGATGACAGGCAACAATGGTTAGTTTTCAAAGAACTCACGAATCAATTCACTCTACAACCTTTGTATCTATTTGTCTATCTTTTTCCAACTCTCAGTTCCCAAACACAAAGATCGTTTTAAAAAAATACCTTTTTGTAGTTGCTATTTTATGTATGAAATCAACAGCACATTACTCACTTCAGTTCACTTAGAGACAGGATTCCATTAAAGGTGCCATTAGCCGTATCTTGATTCTATTAGAAGAACAAAATGATCAAGAATACAAGAAACATTTTGATGGGTTTGTTTTTGTTTTTCATTCTCTACAAGATGTTATTCTTCAGCTTTGTTTGCTACCCAAAGAACTGCATCCCCAAATCTGAATCTAACTGAACTGCATGGAACACTGTCCATCAAACTATCAAATCCATGTTGTCTGAACCAGTTTTTGCTCAAACCCAGACAACCTAACTCTTCAAAAATATATTCTGCCTATTCTTTTAATAATATTCTGAATCAGCAAGTCTGGTATACTAATTTCTGGCTTCATTCCAAGGGTCTCCCTAAAATAACACAACATAAGTTCCCAGATTTAAAGAACAAGACCCCAATGTAAAAAGAGAAAACTGATAGCAAATGCCATTGTGATTCCAGTTCACTGACTGGCACATAGTAAGTGCTCAGGAAATAGTCACTGAAGAAAGAACCCACATTTGGCTGGGATTCTCTGACTCAATCTAGGTGAACAAGATCTATTTTGGAAAACAATTCTTGGAGTCAATGCATTATATTTCCTGCTGCTAGATGTTTTCAATATAATTTTAAATTTTAACTGGTAATAGGATCACATCATATTAGAAATCTTATTCAGCAGCAAAAGTAGTGAAAATTAAAATACAATTATTAACAAAATACAATAATTATTATGACCCCCCCAAAAAAACCCCCAGGGATTCTGAAAATATTAACTCATTTTTATTTCATTGTGATCATAAAAGTAAATATACCAAATACCATAAATAATTTGAGCCTTGAACGAATGTTTAAATACACATGCATTGACTTTTTAAGATTGTAATAAGAAAAGTCTCTAAAACCTACCTGGGTAGCATTGCTTCCTTCGTGATGCTGAAACATTATCTCACCTCTAAAAAATGCTAAAAAAAATTTTCAAAAAGAAATTTGAGACTTCTATCCTTAAAGCATAAAGTTTTATCCAACACATAAAAAAGATTAACAAATTATTTTATAAATGGAGTTTCATGGAATTCTTTGTATTCATGTTTACTTTGTTTCTATCAGTAAGTTAGGAGCTATGGTGGTGCAGAGGTTACAGCTGTAGGTTGAGTTTGGATATCAGTAAGTTACTCAATGATTATCAATATAATTTTCCAAAAAATATGAACTAAGAATTTTACGAAGGAATCCTAACAGTATCAGAAAAAGATAAAACGTGCCCCTGTACCAAGAGTTGCTGAGTTGGATCTCTCCACGTATGTAACAGCCAAGCAACTCTACTAGAGAGCTTCAAACAAGTTTATGGAAAAATGGAATGAAAAGATAATGGAATTTCCCTATGAACTATCTGAAGCCCCCTCATACCTCTACATATTTCCCATAAAAAATTTTGTTCCCTTAAAGAAATGCTAACTGGGGAAGTGAGTTCTACTGTTAACTTGAAAACATATTTTTAAGTTATCACATTATAAGTTACATAGATGAAGGAGGGAGGGAAGGCGTTTCTCAATAGTTAAGAAAGTCTTATGAAAATCTATTTTATCCTTGCCATTTATTTTGCTTTTTACACGCACCCAAACCAACCCTGTTGCCATTTGATCTCGACTCACAGCAATCCTGTAGGACAGAGTAGATCAGCCCTACAGGGCTTCCAAGGCTGACAATCTTTATGGAAGCATATTGCCACATCTTTTTCCCCAAGAAGCAGTTGGTGATTTTGAACCACCGACCTTCAGTTAGAAGCTGAATGCTTAACCACTGCACCACCAAATATATTATCTTTCCTAGAAACAATGGGGGGGGTATAAATCCTCTGTTCAAGTGAACATTGTGGCTTTCACCCCAGAAATGCCAGAAAACCCTGTTCTTAATGTTCTCACTTCTGAAACTGCTGAATCAATTTCAGTCAACCTGTTTTCTGCTGTGCTGAATCCTCAGAGGGGATTCGACTCTATATAGAAAAAAATAAAGCAGAAACTCCTTAACAAAAGTACGGTGTGTGCGTCATAAGCTGCAGGGACCAATGACTAGCCTCTTGAGCAATAGGGCAAGGATGTCATCTAAGCTAGAGCATTGGTCGGCCAACATTGTGTGTAAAGGACTAGCTAATAAATATTCTAGATTTGGAAGCCATATGATCTCCATGGCAACTATTCAACTCTGCTGTTGTAGTGCAAAAGCAGCAACAGACGATAAACAAACAAATGTATGTGGCTGTGTCCTAACAAAACTTTTTTTACAAAAGCAGGAGGCTGTAATCTGCCCATCCCTGAGTATGAGAATTGAAGGTCTCCTTTTCTCATCTCCTTTTACTGCATCCCAAAGTACCACTGATTCCCACAGTTGTGTACCTGACAGTCTACTTCCAAGTCATAATGGCCAACAAAGCCACTAGACTTTGGCAAACCACCAGGGGTTTACATGACCTATCATTTCAGCAAATTTTCTATTGAAGACCTCAATACTTAATTTTATTAAAAGTAAAGATATTCAGTATCTGCATAGAATGACTTATCCATTTTTAAAAGATTCCCTTAAAAAACTGTATTTAGTGAGTGAGTGAGTGAGTGAGTGAATGTCTGTGTGTGTGTGAACACCTACAGTTTCTCTCCCTCACTCCTCCATTCTTCAAGTTCACCCGTCAGTCTTGTTGAGGACATGTTAAATCCCATCAACTGCTGGAAGCACGGCAGTAGCAGCGCAACTAGCAAGTCCTCATGTTCTGACCCTCAGCCTAACATCCTGGTCCGTTCCCAGTTTCTTCACCAGCCTCCAATTCCCTTAATGAGCCTAGATTGGAACCTGCAAGAAGTGAAGGTTTCTAGTTTCTGGCAGGGTATGGTGGAATTTCTGGTGCCAAAAGAGTTAGTTGGTCCCCTGATGAGTATGTTTTCACCAGACATAAAAACAAACGGTCAATTCAGTCACTTAATTGGGGAAAACATTACTCCAACCAGCTTTCTGGCATCTGTTATTCAAGATGACCAGTGGGGTTGTTTTTTTATTTATTTTTTACTAAATGTTCAATTTTCAAAGTTATCGAACAGCGTGTAGACACAACACCAAACTAGACATTAATCACCAACCCAAAACATAGATGAGGCACAAAAGTAATGAAATTATGGGAGATTCACTAAAGCAAAGGGTAAAAGAAGAGGGAGGGAGAAAGAAGAGTTACACAATATATGAAAATGAAATGTAACCAATATGTTATTTTCTTAGTAAAAACCAGCTAAGTGTTCTCCGTTAAATTCTACCTGGATGGAGCATATCAACAGAAAGTTCAGATGAGCAAATCTCACATTCCCACAAACAGAAATGTTTCTGGAAGATTCTTTCTGTAGGAAGTTTTCTTGTCTTCTAATCTCTCCAACCCTAACTTGTTTTACTTGAAATAGTTACCTATGTTTTCAAATAACATATTAAGGACTGCTAAAACGCTATGGGTCAGAACCGACTCAACGGCACTTCACAACAACAACAACAAACTGTCTAAAGGAACAGAATAAAAGGAAAACATACCTATAGTGATTATTTTTAATTTACTGGAGTCATACTAAGTCACTGATATCATACAATACCTGGTTACTTTCTCTTCTTCCCATCATCTCCTGTCTAACTCTGACCTGCCACACCATGTTTTTCTGTTTTTCACATTTGCTTTCGTTGGTTTTAACAAGGAAGGGAGCCCAGAGAGCTAAGCCAATGTAAAAAAAAAAAAAAAAAAAAGTGGTTGCTTCATTCCTTCTAGCCCATGGCAGAAGGGAAAATATTCCCATTTCAAAAATAGCATGTTCTCAAGTGATTTCCATCTCAAAATAGTGGACAGTCTTAGTTGGAGATTGTAAAATACACTACAAGCTCTACTGGAAAAAGCATCCAATTAAACTAGGTACATGTAAGGTTTAAACATTGCAGCAAAGAGACTGTATTCTTAGCAAAAGACACCATTCTGCTGCTAAGCCTGAGGGCTTTAGACAGCATAAGAAGTGGCTTTCATTCATTATTAATTTCATTATAAAGTTTGTGCAAGCCAATAACTAAGGGTATTGGTTATGGATTTAAAGACATGGTTAAAAAAATACATTTGGTTTAGAGTTTCAGGTCTCATACTCAAGTTCACCCATCACCTCATTAGACAATGAGAACATACTTTTAGGTAAATTTAAAAGTTGCTTTTGTTTTTATTAGGAAACCTTAGCAGTCAGAGAGGCACACACCACATACTCAGCATGAAGAAAACAAACCACTTTTCTCTATGGAGTTCATTTATCCAGTAACATGTAATATGCATAAGAACTAACCTGAGTCATTGCAAATAGATGACAAATTGCATATATTTCTCTGAGGTTTGGCTCCTGAAAAGAAAACACAACCCAGCCGGTTAAGCATGTCAACACTTGCACATATACTACAATATAAAAAGCATGAAGAGATTTAGGAATCAAATGTGCATCAAAAACATTACAAGCAGAAGTTGGCTGGGTGAATTTCACAAAGACTAAAGGAGTGAGAGAGTGTTCATTTCTTAGTTGGTCAACGATGGAAGTTGATTCTTTACAATTCTTTATGTAATAGATATTCTGATCCTCAACTAATTCCTAAAATTTCTTTGTCCCGTTCCCAATTAATCCCTCTCATATCCAATATAAACAGACTATGAAAACAATGATTTGTTCTTGTTGTTAAATGTCATCGAGTCAGTTCTGACTCATACTGATCCTGTATAGGGTTTCTGAAAAGCAGCTGGTGGGTTTGAACTACTGACCTTGTGGTTGGTAGTCCAGTGCTTATCATACAGTGTCACAGAAGGACTTGAAATCAAGGAGAGTGACTTTACATGGAATAACCCTTAATCATAGATTTTCCTTCTTTTCTTAGGGAGGGAAGTCCACGAACATGCTAATGCTGCTCCCAAATCCTTATGTAAATTCTTGTATGAAATAACATTAATGTCAGGATATCATTTCACGTGGCCAAAAGCTACACATTTTTAAAGACATTTGATAAGCACCTACTATATCCTACAAGGAGTTTTGGTAGCGTAGTGGTTATAAGTCAGGCTGCTAACCTCAAGGTCAGCAGTTCGAAACTACCAGCTTTCCATGGGAGAAAGATGAGTCTTTCTGCTCCCGTAAAGATTTACAGCCTCAGAAACCCGACTCCACGGCACACCACCACCGCCACCATATTCTACTGGCTTTGGGGGTGGGGGGGTGGTTCCCAAAACAGACCCTGTCCTGAAGGAGCTTATAATCTATTGGGGGATTTTGGTCGTTGTCCTCATCTTGATTCCTACTCATGGCGGTTCCAGGAGTGGTGAGGAGGACTGTGGCTGTCAAGGCTGTGACCTTTGGAAGCAGATCACCAGGCCCTACTATCCAGACCCCACAAGTGGGTTTGAATTGCCAGTAGCTGTGGTGCTGTAGGATAAGCACTGGACTGTTCATCGCGAAGTTGTTGCTTCAAACCCACCAGCCTCTCCTCAGAAACTCTATATAGGATGACTATGAGTCAGAACCAACTGGATAGCACTTAGCAACAACAACAACAACAACAACACAATTAGGGCAGAATGGAGTGAATGCCAGGATAACAGACCACATAAAGCTCAAAGGAAGCAGATATGAATGGGAGAGGAAAGAGGAATGGTACAACAACAAACTTCAGACATATGCATATGAGAAACACTTTCTCCTTTGGTGAAAGAAGTGCTTCTCTTCTCTGATTCAGAAAGAACTTAAAGGTTTACTCTTCTAAGAATCTTTTCTTTGTTCACTGCATCCTTTTGGCAAAGTCTGAGAAATCTTTGTGTGGCACTATAGGATAAGCACTGGATTGTGAATCTAAAGGTCAGCAGTTCAAAACCACCAGCTGCTCCTTGGAAACCCTGTACAGGGTTGCTGTGAGTCAGAATCGACGAGAAGGCACTTAACAACAACAAGAAGAAATCTTTAATAAATGTGAAGGACAGATGCTGATAATGTATAATGCAAACCACAAAGGAACTATGGTTGTTAGATTCAGGAATATTTGAGTCCTCTTGTTAGATCTGGCTTGATTAGAATTATGTATGCAATGCCTGATGGCTATTTTATTTCCATTGCACTTCTGTATGAGTCCTGGTGTGGTGCTGCAGGATAAGCACTGGACTGCAGGGTTGGTTTGAACAGCACACAACATCAACAACCGTTCTTCTCTATGGGAAAATGAGCTTGGATAAAAATTCTAATTTCATCTGAGTTAGTGTATGCAATATGGTTCCTGCCAGGGTGATTTATTTGACGATTGGGTGTGTAGACACAAATCTTCAGCTAAGGGTTTTGATTCTTTAAGCAAACTGAATTTAGGTGCCAAAAGTTACCTGGCATGTAGATTTCTGTATTGTTCCACCTCAGTGCTATCCACACCAAAAGAGAAATACTTCATTTAAAATATACTTATAGATACAATTTACTCTTAAAATACAACTTACTCTTACAAACACTGTGTGAACATTATAGAAGCTATGGGCAGTGAGTAGTACTGTTTCAAATGCTCTTTGCAACCATTGACCTGCTGCTCACTAAACTTGCCATTCCATCTTCTCTAACCTGTCTCTAAATTCTAGCTGCACCTTCATTTCTAGTGCATTGTGTCTTTTTGCTGTGTGTTCGACCTGAAGATTTTCTTTTCTAATGCCAAGTCCATTATCTGTAATTTCCCCTGAGTACATGGCCATTTATCATCCTTTCCAAAAAAGAAAAAAATTTTTTTTTGTAAAGGCTTTAGACTTCACTGGCCATACGATCTCCGTCATAGCTACTCAACTCTACTGTTCATTGTAGGCGAAGAGTAGCCAAAGAGAATTTATAAACAGATGGGCATGACTGTTTCAATAAAATTTATTTACAACACCAAGATGGGACAGATTTGGCCCTTGAGCCATAGTTTGCCAAATCCATTGTTAAGTCAACCAAAAGTCTTTATTAAGTGTGTAGGCTGTGTCCCTACCCTTACCCTAGATATTTACAAATACATCCCTTCTTTGATTTAAAAAGAGTTGGACGTTCATTCCTCCAAGAATCTTTTCATTAATTGAATTTATCAATAAACTCATTAATACCAGCCTTTCCATCTCCCGTGCCTCTTAAGAAACACTCACATAATTATTGTCTTTATCTGCATAATGTTTAAGTTTATTATGTTTTATCTCCTTTCACAGACCAAAAAAATTCTTGAAGGTAAGCACTGTATCTGATTATTATTACGTAGTCCTGTAGGATAAGCACTGGACTGTCAACCAAAAGGTTGGTGGGTCAAAGTCACCAGCCACTTCTCAGAGACCCTATACAGTGTTGCTATGAGTCAGAACTGACACAACAGTACTTAGTAACAACAACAACTAGTACAACTCCAGGTACCCAGTCCATAAACATCTATTCAGTAAGAACAGATTTTATTTTTAAAAGGTAGGGAAAAAGAAAGCATAAATACCAGCCATTTGTTGAATGTTACATGAATAATAATAAAAAGAAAGTCTTGATAATAAATCATACCTGATGCATTGAAGGTTTTTAATATAGTGATTTTAGTTTTTTCTGCAAAGAAGCAATTTAAATATTAGAGCAGAAATTTTGCTTTTCTTTTCTTTTTTTAACCAATTTGTCATGAGTATCATTTTAGTAACTCTCTAAGAAAATCACATGGTTGACTCCTTTAAGATAGTATCTGTCATCTCAACCACAGAATGAACAGAATCACATATGTGGATCACAGAGCATTAGCAGAGGGGTCTAGGAGTTGGATTACCATGTTTACCCAGTTATATCACACCCATTACACACCTTACTGCTTGTGTAATTCTACTTCAATTTCCAGGCTCTGCTGCTAGACAAATGGATGTGAACTTTCACTTCAGATATGAAAAATTAAGTCACTATCAGTCACTATCAGGAGCGCTGGTAGCATAGAGGTTATGAGTTGGGCTGCTAACCTCAAGGTTAGCAGTTCGAAACTACCAGCCATTCCATGGGAGAAAGATGAGACTTTCTGCTCCCATAAAGATTTACGGCCTCGGAAACTCTATACAGGGTCGCTATGAGTCGGAACAGACTCCACGGCACATAACCAACAAACCAACCATCACGACCTTCAAGGGACAGCTTGTAAAGAGCAAGTGATTAAGAGTAAAAAAACAACAACAATGGAAAGCAGTAAACATAGGATCTCTAAAACTACTACTTCCTCCCCAATCAAGAAAGTGTCCTGTTATTTTCATTTGGAGCTCAGATCATATTATCCCCATTGCAGAGAAGTCAAGATCATCTAACTATAGACACACAATAAGCCCATAACAGAATCAGGACTGGTCAAAGTCAATGACTCAACAGGACAATACTATCATGTTCTGATGAAGCAAATTGTAATAGTATCTTCCCAACACACTTTGGCAACAAAGCCCAGGGTTCAAGGATCAAGTTCAGAAATTCTTGCTGTAAAGATGGGCGATTAGAAGAGGCTGTGTTCAGTGTACAGATTTGCAAAAAAGGTACTTTCTGCTAGAATGGACAGGCAAATTCTGAAGAAGAGACAGAGCTCAGAGTTTAGAGACACATTTAAGAATGATGAAGTTATACTGACAGGGTCAGAAATCTCGTTTGTGTATGTATGATTGATAAGTTTCAGTTTCAATGTGTGACCCATGGGCAATGAGTGACGGTAATTTCTTAGAGAGGCTGATAACATTTTGCATTATCATTAAGAATCCTTTAAATGGACTTGCATAATTTATTTCCATTAATACTGTCCTCTCTAGAGTAAGCAAAACAGCTGTGAAATTAACTTCTGGTTCTGGAAGTAGCAATGCTTTGGGGAGGAACTATTTAACCTAACTAATAATCAAGAAATGGAAAATAAAATCTAAGAAAATGAGAAAAGGATTTAATCGTATGATCTCTCAACAAAGGTACAGCGACAAGAGACAAGAGATACTCTCATCTGTTGCTGACAGTCGTGCTACTGGCTATTGGGCAGTAGGCATCAGGTGTCCTAATATACTCATAACGCTGATCCATAAAGTTCAATCCTTGGAGAATATCCTAAAGAAATCCAGGATGAATGCAAAGATTTTGGAACAAGGATGTTCACTGCAACAATTTGTATTAGAAAAACAGAAGTAACTTTAATGTTCAATATATGTTACAAAATGGAATATTCTCATCATTGATAGTAAGGGGCAGTGGGAAAAACACTTTTAATATGATATTAAGTCAAAAAAGTAAGATATAAAAATCTATGTAAACTATGGCTATTCTGTAAAAAGTATTTCTGTTGGATGCCATCTAGTTTATTTTTGACTCATAACGACCTCATGTGTTATATAGTAGAAGTGTGTATTGTACAGGGTTTTTTCAGACTGCAATCTTTTTTGGAGCAGATTGTTAGGTCTTTCTCCCTCAGAGCCACTGGGTAGATCAGAACGTCCAACCTTTCTGTTAGCAGTCAAGCACTAACCATTGAGCCACCAGGGCACCGTGTAGATATCATACTGAATGGAAATGTACAAAATTATTACCACTAGTAGCCTTAAAGAAAAGTTCTATCTTCTCTGTATTTTTCTATATTCTCTCTCTTTTTTTAAATGGGATAACGTATTTCAATGAGGAGCCCACGGTGACACTATAGGGGAATCACGTGATTGCTAACAATAAGGTTGGCAGTTCAAATCCACCAGCAGCTCCAAGGGGAAAAAGATAAGATTTTTGCTCCTGTAAGGATTTAAAGCCTTGGAAACCGTATACAGTATTGCTATGAGTCAGAATCAACTTGATGGCCTTGAGTTTAACGTATTACAAGGGGACATGGTGGCACAGTGGGTTAAGTACTGGACTGATGCTAACCACAAGGTTGGAGGTTCAAGCCCATCAGCCACTCCATGGGAGAAAGATGAGGTTGTCTACTCCTATACACATTTACAGTCTAGGAAAATCTAATCAGATAAATAATACAGGTTATTTTAAATGGAATACTATAACCATAAGGAGCTCTGGTAGTGTAGTGGTTACTAATCGGGCTGCGAACCTCAAGGTCAGCAGTTCGAAACTACCATCTGTTCTGCGGGAGAAAGATAAGGCTTTCTGCTCCCGTAAAGATTTATAGCCTCAGAAACCCTGTACAGTGTCGCTATGAGTCAGAACCAACTCCACGGCACATAACAACAACAACTATAACCATAACAGTTTGGTAGTTTTGGAATGGAGTGATGTAAAACATAAATGTTCATATAATACATAAACCAAAAACCAAACCTCTTGCTGTCCAGTCCATTCTGGCTCATGGTGACTCCACAAAGAAAAGGGGTAATCAATCAACAGTTGAAGGCACAGGGGAGAGGGCAAGAAGAGTAAGGAAAACTCTTCAGTAGCCTAATAGACTACACATGTATGAAACATGTGTAGTACTAGATCAAGAAGCCGCAGAAACATAGTACTAGATTTAGAAAGAACTTGATATTTTTTACCTGTTTTGTTTAAAGTGGATAAAACACTTGAAGTAGCATCTGAAATAAAATAACAAAAATTAGCCGAACTACTGGCATGGTTAACAAATATGGGTCTTTCTAGGTTCTTTAGGGGAGGTTAATGGCTCCATAAGCTAAACACTGGACTGTGAACCACAAGGTCAGCAATTTAAGCCCACCAGTCGCTCAGAGGGAGAAAGACGAGGCTTTCTGCTCCCGCAAAGATTTAAAAAGCCTCGGAAACCCTATACAGGGTCACTATGAGTTGGAACCGATTCTATGGCACCTAACAACAGCAACAAAGTTTCCTTAAACATTTCATTTTGCCTGAAATATGAGACAAGTAAAAAGAGTTTTGCAAAAGTCCACTGACACTACTAAATGTATTTGCTGCCCATCTCCTTGCCAATAGCCATCATCCAATTCCCAGGAACAGGTTCTGAGCAAGTCTTCATTCACTCAAAATGTGTTTCCTGAACCCAAGTTATGTGTCTAACATGTTGCCAAAAGCCAGTGGCCATTAAGTCTACTTGGACTCCTGGGTGTCAGAGCAGAACTACGTTCCATGGAGTTTTCAATGGCTGATTTTACAGAAGCAGATCATCAGGACTTTCTTTTGAGGCACCTCTGGGTGGACTCGAACCTCTAACCTTTCATTTAGCAGCTCAGCACATTAACCATTTGCATCACCAGGGACTCCTACGCAGCTCAACAGTCTTATAATTATTAGATTGAAATAAACCCGTTTATGTCACTTAATATTTTATTCATTTTCCCCCTCTATGAATCAGAACTGACTCGACAGCACCTAACAACAACAATGGATGCTTAGTACATTTTAACCTCATGAGACACTCTTGTAAAGCAATCTTTAAAAGTATTCTAGTTTCAACTGGGAGTTCTTAAATATGGTATACTCACTTTTAGGAAAATCTCATTTTGACCTTGTTTAACTTAAAATTCCATTTTAAATCTACTCTGTTAGTATTATTTAAGTGAAAATAATTCCAGAATTTATTTTTCTGGATGAAATTTTAGGAAACAAATATTATCACATGGCCACACTTAAAAAAACAAACCAACAAACATCAAAAATGTGGGTCAGGAACTGCTGCCAAAATGATTTTTGAAGATACTCCTTTTATCACAAAACTTTGTGGTGCTGTGGGTTAATGTTCTGGACTGCAAGGTCGCTTTGAACCTCAAGGTTGATGGTTCAAGCTCACCAGCTGCTCCTTAGAAGCCTTATACAGGGTTGCTATGGGTCAGAATTGACTCTACAATACACAACAACAACAACACTTAAGTACTGTGTTCTTTTAAGATCTTTCGATATGGGATCAAAAGGAGCCCTGGTAGTGTAGTGGGTTACAAGCTGGACTGCTAACTGCAAGGTCAGCAGTTCGAATCCTCCAGCCACTCTGAGGGAGAAAGATGATGCTTTCTCCTCCTATAAAGATTTACAGCCTCAGAAACCCTATCCAGGGTTGCTGTGAGTCAGAACCAACTTGAAGGCACACAGCAGCAGTATATGGGATCCAAGTGACAACAGCAACTCAAAAGATTAGATAGAAAGCTTCGGGGACAGTGAGTTTATGTTAAAGGAGAAGGAACACCTCAGAAAAAGAAGGTTCTTGCACAACTCCAAGAATGTCATCAATGTCACTGAAATGTAATAAGGAAACTGTTGAACTACTGCATATTTTTCTGTGTGTGCAGTTCGAAACTACCAGCTATTCTGCGGGAGAAAGATGAGGCTTTCTGCTCCCGTAAAGATTTACAGCCTCAGAAACCCTGTACAGGGTCACTATGAGTCGGAACCTACACCATGGCACATAACAACAACAACAACAACAACAAATTCTCAGCAACAACAAAGGTGTTGTTTTTGTGTTTTTTGTTTTGTTTTGTTTTTTGTTTTTAAAGTAACAGCACTTAAAAATGACAAACCTGAATTTAAAAGCCAGTTCCAATCAGTGTGAGTTGCATCTATGATTGTTTATCATAATCAACAACCACATAGTTAGACTTTAGTTTAACAATGGTGCTCACAGGTAGGAGCAGGCTTTGTGATCACGAGACTGATTCTTAATCTGTAAAATGAGCCAGTTGTATCTGTTTGGTCTACAATTTGGTTAAATGTCAACTCATAAAGTGATTATGGCACTTGCAGATCTAACCAAATGTTATTCTGTCAGCACATTTTTTGCTCTGTCCTCCCAATATCATGGAATGTTCTAACTCCTTAAAATTCAATAAATAGTTATTTCAAATTATTACGGAAAGAGGTGGGGGCTTGGCTACAGTGTGATGGACGACTGTCTACCCACAGAGGGGAGGAACCGAATGTGCTGCCCTCAAATATAGCCCAATTCTTTGCCCTTTCCTCTAGCTGATGAAGAAGCCAATTTTGTTTTCTTCATTTCAAACTACTTAAAAAATAGATAAAAGCATCTGTAAAAAGGCTACCTTTTCATGTACTGTGCCTCCAGACAAGGCTGACTTGTGTTGGCGTCACTAGATGTACTTTTCACACTGAAACATTTCATTATGTACAACTTGTTGGCACCGTGTTGGAGAGTAAGTGAAATGGAATACTCGAAATGTGGTCAATGTTTTCTTTGCTATGACAGTTAGTGGTAGACAGTTGTTCTCCATCCATGATAATAAAAACATCATCCTTTCACCAGAAATTTTAGGGACTTTTCCATGATAGACAAGGGACTCTCATGGCACAGGGATTAAGTGCTTGGCTATTAACCAAACAGTTGGCAGTTTGAACCCATCAAAGGAGAAAGATGTGCAACCGACTTCAATGGAGATCGGAAACTGATGTGGCAGTTCTAGTCTAGCCTATAGGGTCACTATAAAAACCAACTTGACACATTGGTTCACAGGTGCCACGGTTGATAGTGTTTTGGCAGTAGGAGGCTTTGCTTGAGGGGGTCGGCATTTGAAAATACTCAGTGTACTCAGAAATCATTTAAAAATGGAAACCTTCAACACCATTCATTATATTTATGTTTATATTGTTCTTGTTGTTAAAGTGCCGTCGAGTCATTTCTGACCCATAGCGACCCTGTACACGGTTTCTGAGGCTGTAAATCTTTATGGGAGCAGAACGCCTCAATCTTTTTCCCACGGAGCAGCTAGTAGTCTCGAACTGCTGACCTTATGGTTCACAGCCCGATTCATAACCACTACGCTAGGGTTATCAACTTTCACTTGCTTCAGAAAAAAAATTCTTACCATTGAGGCTTGTAGTTTCAACCTCTTTCGACCCCGAAGGAAAAAACAATACAAAGTTATAATTAAATCAAAACTTAATAAATTGGGCTAAATCTAGGCTTAACATTTTTCAAAATCTTGCCTGGAGTACCATTGGAGAAGGAGATAAAACCGAACAGAGGTGATTCAGCTGCAGGAGAAAAGAAAAAGACAAAATTTTAAATGAATGCTTTGAAATAATTATTTATTAAATGTTAAGGAGTTAGAACTTCTAATTATGAAGGTTAAAAAAAAAAGTGTTACTGGACGAGTACAGGTGGTTAAATTTACAAGTTTCAAAATCATTCAGTAAGCCTACATTTAATCAAATTTAGAGAAAACCCAAGAGACCAAATATCTCATTTTGCAGATGAAGAAACTGAGTTTTATGATCACAAAGTCTGTTAACCCCAAACCTACCGCTGCCAAGTCGATTCCAACTCATAGTGAGCCTACTGAACAAAATAGCACTGCTCCATAAGGTTTCTGAGACTATCAATCATTGTTGTTGTTGTTGTTGTTATGTGCCGTCGAGTCGGTTCTGACCCATAGCGACCCTGTACAGGGTTTCCGAGGGTGTAAATCTTTACGGGAGTAGAAAGCCTCATCTTTCTCCCGCGGAGCGGCTGGTAGTTTTGAACCGCTGACCTTAAGGTTCGCAGCCCGATTCGTAACCACTACGCTACCAGAGATCAATCATTAGGGGAGCAAATATGGAATGGCTGGTGTATTTGAACAGTCAGTCTTGTGGTTGGGTTAGCAGCCCAATACTTAACCCACGACACCACCAGGGTCCCACTACAAAGCCTTCTAGTACTTGTTATTGGTAAAGGTCATCAAGTTGGTGCCAACTCATAGTGCCCCTATATAGGGTTTCGGAGGAGTGGCTAGTAGGTTTAAATCTCCAGTCCACTGCTTATCCCACAGACTCACACTAAAAAAATTAAAAATCAAGCTTAGGACCCACATCAAGATATGAGAAATACTACTTTTAAAACTTTTCAGCCAGAACAATCTAGAAAACATTTCATGCTTTTAATAATTTGCTGAACTGTAATCATGATTGGCATTTTGGCTCCATTCTGCTCTAATGACACCTGGCAACTCTTCCCACAGTGAACAGTAGGATTGAAAAAAAACAACAACTTTATCACTCAATACTTAATACTACCTAACACAATTTCTTGGTATGATATTTAAAGTATGGCTGCTATTAAGATAATCAAGTTATATATTTTCTATGGAATGATTCCACTTAACCTAAGAGGTAATTTACTACCCATGTTTGGCATGATTAAATATTAAAAAGAACCAATAGCTTAACCTCTACTTAAAGCTGGAAAAAGTAAATGCAAACATTTTACTACTGAGACAAGTTTTGCAGTAGGGAGCTTGATTTTCAGCTGGTAGGGACAAGATGTGGGTGTGTCAAGGCGCTTGGCTAGCCTGTTTCAGACGGCTCATGCGTTGGCTGAAACACACACACCCTGTCTGTCCTACGTTATTGCTTCCATATTTTGTCATTTACTACATTTATTATTTTTTTTAATGACCAGAATATTTCTTGAGAAATAACACCATTCCTGAGCAATACGATTTGAAGTGTGGATACGGAATCATTTTCCTCTTTGGGGACAACAAAATCATTGGACAAAGATGTTTTAAATTTATGACTGTTAATTCTTCCAAAAAAGAGTCCTAGTGGCACAATGGTTAAGTGCTTGGCTGCTAACCAAAACATGGCAGTTCAAATGCACCCAGTGGCTCTAACGAAGAATGACTTACAGTGATCTGTTCCCATAAAACTACATCCTAGAAAATTCTATGGGGACGTTCTACTCTGTCAGATGGGGTCACTTTGAATTGAAATTGACTCAACAGCACCCAACCACTACCACCACCACAATTCTTTCAAACGTTGATGGGCAGTAATGCGATCCCAAAAGACCTGTGAGCACATTGGCCCTTACTTTTCAGTTAGTGCAACTCAACACCAGAGCACCTAGCTTCTAGGCTGTGACACAGTGCAAGGCCTATTCCTCATTGCATGCAGACAGGATTCTGCAAATGTAACCAACACCATGGTTATGTCTGCTGAGGACTATTCTACTGGAAAACAAATACTATGTTGCCATTAAGTGGATTCCACCTCATAATGCCCTAGAGGACAAGGTAGAACTGTCCCCTAGGGTTTCGAAGGCTATAATCTTCAAGGAAGCTGACTGCCACACTTTTCTCTCATGGTTTGAACCACTGGCCTTATGGTTATTAGCCAAGCACTTAACTACCATGCCACCAGGGTTCCTCAAGACAAATACAGTGGTTCATTTTATCCTAGAAGCTTAAGAACTGAAAGGGGCGAGAGAAGGAGGCAAGTTGTTACAGAAAAAAGAACTGGGACTTTGGAGCATTGCAGTCCTGGGTTTGAGTCTTTGCTTACTACTTAATTCATGTTGCTGTTGTTAAGTGCCATTGAGTTGGTTCCGACTTATAGCAACCCTGTATAGGGTTTCTGAGGAGCGGCTGGTGAGTTTGAACTGCCGACCTTGCAGTTCAAACCAACCTTGCAGTCCAGTGCTTATCCTACAGCGGCACACCAGGACTCCATATATGCATCGTGTTTCATGTCATTTATTGCAATTCCCAGCATGTAACATCACTTACTCCTCTTCCTCTGTGTTTCCTGTTTCCACGCCTTCTTTCCTAAGTCTTTTAACTTTGTCCTGGGTAAATGCTGCTCTTTTTATCTCAAATGGTTGTTTTTTTTAAGGTGTGTGTATCTTCCTAGTGTTATTGTTCCCCTGCGTAGTGGTTATGAATCGGGCTGCGAACCTTAAGGTCAGCGGTTCGAAACTCCCAGCCGCTCCGCGGGAGAAAGATGAGGCTTTCTAGTCCCGTAAAGATTTACACCCTCGGAAACCCTGTACAGGGTCGCTATTGGTCGGAACCGACTCAAAGGCACTTAACAACAACAACAATAGATTGTTTGGCTGAAAATTGAGTCAACATTAATAGTTGTTGTTGTTAAGTACCACTGAGTTGGTTCCAACTCGCAGCAACCTTACATAGCATTTCCGAGGAGTGGCTAGTGAGTTTGAACCACCAATCTTGTGATTTAAGCTGACCTTGCAGTCCAGCATATTATACTACACAGTTCTTACATATTGAGAACTTACTCTGAATGAAGCAAAGACTGTTATTCTCCCACAATTTAAAGAGAAGGAAACTTGGGCACCAAAAGGTTAAGGAGCTTGTTCACACAACTAGCAATAAGGATGAGGAAGCATGGTCATATTTAAACACAAGTAGTCTGACTCCAAAGATTGAGTGAACACGGGCAAGGTTTATCTTCTCTAAGCCTCAGTTTCTGCATCTATGTTAATATAATGATTTCTATGTTGTAAGAGGAAGGAGCTCTGGTAGCGTAGTGGTTATGAATCAGGCTGCAAACCACAAGGTCAGCAGTTTGAAACTACCAGCCGTTCCACAGGAGAAAGATGAGGTGTTCTGCTCTCGTAAAGATTTACAGCCTCGGAAACCCTGTACAGGGTTGCTATGAGTTGGAACCGACTCCACAGCACATAACAACCACCACCACCATTGAGTGGTTGGAGTCCTGGAGTGGGGTTGTGGGTTAATGCGCCAGATGGCAAAGCCATGTAAACTGCAAGGTCGGCGGTTCAAGCTCACCAGCTATTCCTAGGAAACCCTACACAGGGTCTCTATGGCTTGGAACCAACTCCATGGCACTTAACAGCAATGTTGTAAGATTGAGAGGAGAATTAGAATGTGTCTGAACACATTCAGTCGCATAGTATATGCACAAGAAGTAGTGGCTATTGTTATTATATTGATTTAAATAAGTATGGCTAGCTGTAGAAGCCTTTGCATAGTCAATAAAGCACAGATAAACATCTTTCTGATATTCTCTGCTTTCATCCAAGATCCATCAGACATCAGTAATGATATCCATCGTTCCAAAGCCTCTTCTGAATCCGGCTTGAACCTCTGGAAGTTCTCTGTCAGTGTATGCTTGTAGCTTATTCTGTATGACTTTCAGTAAAACTTTACTTGCATGGGATATCAAAGATACTGTCCGATTATTTCCACATTCCATTGGGTCACCTCCATTCCAGTTAGCAACAACCTCAAATGCCACTTCTGTTCCTGGTTCCTGCATTCCCAGTCCTAGTTATAAAAGGTTCCTTAATTTATCTGCCTTTCCACAATCTTGGATTCTCCTGAGTGCTAAGCCCTCAGAAGACTTTTGAAGAATAGTCTTTGAGTATGGGTACTAACAAAGCATGTCTAAGAGAATATATTGTCCGTCAACTACAGGATATTGGCATGCTTATATTCTCGTTCCTCTTCAGGACACTTGTGAACTAGAACACTCAAAATAACCTTTAAAACCCACAATTTACTCCCAATTTTGTCCAAAACATGTCATTGTTGTTAAATACCATTGAATTGATTCCAAGTCATACTGACTGCATGTAACTAAGTAGAACTGACCCACAGAGCTTCTTGGCTGTAATCTTAAGGAGAGCAGATTACCAGTTTGTTCTCCCTTGGAGCTGCTGGGTGGGTTCAAACTGCCAACTTTTCAGTGCGCAGTCAAGCACTTTAACCATCATGCCATCAGGGTACCTTGTCATCTTGTGTATGATTGTTGTTGATTTTCCAGGTTTAATGACAGAATTTGACATTTGGCAGTTCACCTACACTTTATGTAAAAAAAAACAAACAAAAACAAAAAACGTTTTGCTCTGACCACATGCCAAACTGCACAGACATTTTAAAATTAATATTTTCTTAAGATTCCCCAAAATCATGAAATAGCAGTCTTACCAGACGGTGATAACAAACTGGAATTACCAGCAGTTTCTGTGGAGGGAAAAAAGTGATTTAGTTAAAGGTGATTAACAAATTAATTTATGTACAAAATTGTCTACTGTTTTAATTATGAGGCATTGGTAGTTTGGTGGTAGAATTCTTGCCTCTCTGACAGGAGTCTGAGATTTGATTTCTGGCCAATGCACCTCATATGTAGCCACCTCCTGTCTGTCAGTGGAGACTTGCGTGCTGCTATGATACTGACCAGGTTTAAGTGGAGCTTAGTCTAAAACAATCTAGGAAGAGATCTACTTC